CCCTGTTGGAAACCTCTCGTACCACCCTTACCTAGGTCCCTGAGGCTGACTCTTCTTCTGTCCAGATTCCTAGGCCTTTTAATCCACTCTCCCGCCCTGCTGCTTTGGGCATGCCTGAATTCCTCTCCCCGCTTGGATTCCCGTGGCTGACTGCAGATCCCCGCGGCTGGCTAATTGTATACCAATGTGTTATCTAAATTAGAGCCCCTAACACATACCTACAACTATTATCACACTATCATGCCTACTTCCTTCATAGCACTTGCTACAAAAAATGATTTTCATTTATTACTCTGTCTTCCCTTAAAAGATGTGTAATAAGCTCCATGAAAGCAGGGGCCTTACCCATTCAATACTGTATCCTCAATACTTAAGGACAGTGTCTAGTATATAACGAAACCAAATTCACTTCCATCAAATCGAATCCGACTCATAGAGACCCCTCCCTGGGTTTCCAAGGTGGTATCTCTATGGAAACAGATGCCCAGTCTTCCTTCCAAGGAGTGACTAGTGGGTTTGAACTGGCAGCCTTCTGGTTAGCAGTCAAACGCCTTAGGTACCACATAATACATGCTTAATAAGTATCCACAGCTTAATTCTTTTCTACAATCTTTTTGAAGTGAGAATTTATTATTTGTTGGAATAACAACTGACTGCAGCCCTGCTAATTTATATGTCAGTTATCAATATATCTTAAAGCTGGTTTTGTGGTTTTTTTTTTTCCTTCAAAGATGAATAAAATTAAATAATTTAACAATGTATATTACAGAAATGGTATAACAGAACTACTATATTTAATGAGTTGTGATCCCTTTGAAACAATGACTTCAATAATAAAATTTAAAAGAAATAAAATGGTAATAATAAAAGTATAGAAAAATTCCCTCTACAAACAAAAAAATTACAAGTTAATCAACGTACTGAATATCACAACCTGGCCACAGTTACTTGGGCAATTACTGCATCTGGATAAGAATTTAGCATAAATTACAAGACAATCATGTAGAATTTAGGACAGTCTGGGAAAGCTTTATTATTTGAAATTAAAAACAAAAAAACAAATTGGATGTCCTCTGGCTTAAGATGACTGCTTTGAAATTATTTCATGATAAGAATGTTCTATATTCTTTAATATGTTCTATCTTCCTTGTACTTTTTACTTCTTCTTTCCTTGAGGAGTTTGCTGTATGCAAATCATTAACATTTTTATTATACATCCTAAATAAATAAGATTGAAAAACTTAGCGAGTAGTTATTCTCTCAAAAAAGGTGTTATATACATGAAAAAACTGCTATCATTCAATCTTTTCTTTAAAATCAGATCACTACTATAAATTTTTGTATTTATTACTTATTACATTTATTTCTATATAATTTAATTTATATCTGTGTATTTATATGTAAAAAAACCCAGTCACTAGTGCTCAGACGGCTCCCTTGTTACCCTCCCGAGAGTGACCGGGTCTCCGGGAGCAAGGTAAGCATGGGCGGGCTGGTGCTTACTCACTGATCTGCACTGAACACTTTCCCTTGTT